TGATAATTTTGAACCACGTATGATTGATGAGTATCGACAAAGACAGAAACAATTCAAGCAAAATTAGCTTTACTTCCAAAATGACAAGTATTTAGGCCTATAGTCCAAACACTTGAAGATGTGAAACCGGTTGGATTTAAATGGGTTTTTTTACAATGAAAATGAATGAGAAAAATGAAATTACTAGACATAAGTCTAGACTTGTAGCTCAAGGTTTTTCCCAAAGACCGGACATCTATTTTGATGAAACATGTTCACAGTGTAATGGACATAATCATATTCAGATATTTAATTAGCTTTGGCTTACAAATCGTCAAATTGAGCATATTTCATATGGAATACTTATCCATCAACCATCATATGTTAAAAAGCTCCTAAAATGTTTCAACATGGATAAGGCTCGCCCTCTAAGTACAGCTATGGTTGTTCGGTGTCTCGATCCCAAGAAGGTTCCATTTCATCCTAAAGATGATGATGAAAAAAAATACTTGGTCCTGAAGTACCATATCTTAATGCAATAGGTGTTTGTTATACTTAGCACAATGTACTAGACGAGACATAGCATTTGTGGTAAACGTACTAGCAAGATTCAGTTCTAAACCAACATAACGACATTGGAACAGAATAAAGCATATTATTCTTTACCTAAGTGGAACTAAAGATTCGTGATTATTTTATTCAGATAAGTCCACTAAGAATATCGGTTTAGTTGGATATCTAATGTCGAGTATCTTTTTTACCCTCATAAATGACACTTACAAATAAGATAAGTTTTTACTTGCAATGGAACAACAATCTTATGGCGCTCCACAAACCAACTTTGGTTGCAACATCTTCTAATTATTTAGAAATTCTTGCACTACACGAAGCCAACTAAGAATGCATATCGTTACGGTATGTCATCCATCATATCTAAGAAGCATGTCGATTTCCTTCCATTATAGATATTCCTTCCATAACATATGACAATGCAACTTGTATTTCTCAAATTAGAGAACGATAAACAAAAGGAGATATAACAAAACATATATCGTTGAAACTCTTTTACACACATGAGCTCCAAAAGAATCAAACAATTGACTTCAAATAAATACGCTTTAGTGATAATTTTGCAGATTAATTCACTAAAACATTATTGACATCTACTTTTGAGAGATTGGTGTTTAGCATCGATAAGTGGCTTTCCACTTTTATGCTTAGTGTCTTATAATGTGTCATTCCATGACATTGGGTTATGGATGTGAGTGACATGTGTTGTCTTTTGTTGGCAAGTTTTTATTGGTTTTGGGGGCGGTAGAAATTGCTATATAAAACGCCTTCCCTTTTGTAATTTTCTTGTACCAAATTGAGAGTGTTCATGCAAAAAACCGTATTGGGCTCTCGATCGGCCCGATAGCAAAAGGCTCCATGCGAAGGCCAAACTCTGGTTGGTCCAATAGCAAAAGGATTCGCACCAAGACCCAACTTTTGTTAGCGCAATAGCAAATGACTTCATGCTGCAACCCAACTCTGGTTGGGCTCATGCCAAAAGCTCAACTCTAGTTGGCTCAAAAGCTTAAGGCTCAGTGCCACAACCCAACTTCGATTGGGCCTATATCAAAACTCATCTTATGAGAGGACTATCTAGTAAGATGGCTGATTTTGTGAAAAAAACCGCTCTATAGGTCGGCCCGAAAGCTTAAGGCTCAATGCCACAACCCAACTTTGATTGGGCCTATATCAAAACTCATCCTGTGAGAAGACCATCCAGCAAGATGGCCGATTTTGTGAGAAGAGCCGCTCTATGGGTTGGCCCTTTCTACAAGATGGTCTACACTACGAGTTAGCCTACTTCATGAGTTGGGCTACTCTATGAGTTGGATCACTCTACGATCAAGGCCACTCTATGAATTAGGTCAACCTACATTTTAGGCCATTCCACGAGTTAGGCCTTTTTATAAAATAAGTTACCTCAAGCTCCAGCCCATCAGTCTACACTTATCTCTAAGTCTCATACATAACCTAATTCATCCAAGACTCTTAGTCTTACGTAAACTAGGACTCCTACTCCTACATGGATTAGCACTACTAGTTTTCTGTTTACTCAAACTCCTATTGTGAAAACACCTAGTTCTACAAAGACTCAAGCTTCCTTGGCTCACTATATAAACAGAGACCAGCCCTCTCATTATTCATTCAATCATAGCCCCTCTCACTAGTTCGCTAAGTTCTTACTCCTAAAAACCACCATCTTTCCTCACCGTAGAGCTCAATTCTGACTAACTCTACTTCTTGTAATCACCATAGAGTCGTGCCTTGGCCACCCTTCGTCGATAAGTCGCACCCTGGCCAACCACTCTCGGTAAAACCCTTTCCCGCTCTTAGCCTTAATACATTCCCTTCAACCATGCTGAGATAACCGTCGGAGTGCCTACGATCGACACCACACCGGTGTCCCCCGAGCCTTCACGTTAACTCTTCTGTGTCCCTACAAGTCTACGAGATTGTCAGTGATCTCATCCTCTGTAACAACCACATCGAGGTACATAGCTTTATGTGTTCCCTAAAAATTGGGCCCATTATTTTATATTCTCGTNTTTCATTTTCCGCTGTGAGATCACTTAGGATTAAACTCATCTGCTTCATTCAGAATAATTAAAAATTTCCTGTAATTGCAATAAAAACATATAAAAAAACTCTTATAAATTATCAAAACTCCATAAGACCATCTTCAACCACAACCACTAAATTGATGTAATTTCCACACCAAATTAGTGTAACTTTTGATGTATTTCACTATTACATCTCCAACCCATTGCACCAAATATTACACCAAAAAGAATATTCTATTTTTTTTTTCTTTCTATCAATAATCAACAATTAATTTATTTTACTAATTATTTTTTTATATATTAATTAAATATTGAGAATGATATTTTTTATTCAATAATAATAACTTTGAAAATTATACTAATTTAATAAAATTAAGCATTTATTTAATCAAATAAACATTACATTTAATATAAAAAAACATCACATCTAATATAAAATGAAAAAAAAAAAAAAAGACAACAATAATACAAAAGCAAAATTCTATATTGATAGTAATTTAATTTTTCAAATTAATATATTCTTCCCCCAAATAATCAATTAATGCATTTTGAAAAAGCATGGTGAGTCTCCATACCCTTTATTTGTCTATGGAGAATTCTAATTCTTTCTAATATTTTGATGATCTTAGAGGATCCGAAACTAATCTATCGGAATACTAAATTATTATTTTAATTTATGTTGTATTTTTTTTTAATTTTAGTGTTTTTAAATTAGTGTTAATTTTTATTTTGAGTTATTATAGTTTAATATTTACATTGAATAAAGTTTTGTTTTGAATTTTTTATCATTTTTTGAATTATATAATTATTATGAATTTATTATTATAAATAATAATTAAATTAAAAAATAAAATAAAAATAAATAAATAAAATATATTTTATAGTATATAAATAGTATAATTTCGAGTAGTTTTTGATGTTGGACTGGAGTAAAGTTTCCACAAACATCAAAATGGTGTTGGGTAGAAAAATAAGGTGGGAAAATCTAAAGTAATGGATAGAAATAGGTAATGTTGTAAGATAGGAGACATGGGCCCTAGCTTTCGTAACCGTTAAACTCAGAAAGAGACCCACTTGAGAGTTACATAATCCTACCACTCTCTTCTTCAACCTCACACTCTACTGGTCAACGTTTTATTATTATTGTTGCAAGTGGGTCCTGTTTGATTTATTAAGGCAAGGTTGCTTTGTTGGGAAGCAAGGCAAGTCCGGAGGAGTCGGTACAACTTTAGTTAGTGGTTAGAAAGAAAGACTTTGGGAGAGTAATTAACTCCCTTAATCACTGTACGATAAACATCAATTTATTTATAATTCAATCTTAATCATTTAATTAACTTATTATTATACTTTCATTTGACTATGTTGACTCTCAAGAGTCCAATAATATTAGAAAGAGTGAGGGGCAAGAAAAGGATTAAAAAAAAAAAAAGATATTGGAATACCTACTGCTTATTACTTTTACATCCACAAACCAATTACGGTTAACCATTAATCCTTTAGGTTTGATCTTTAAACTCTATGTGAATATTTGAACCAATTATTTATGTTGCATTTGAGAATCCACCCACTTAACTTTAATTGACCAACAACATTATTTCATGAGTTTTTGCTATTCGGGCCCGTCAATATGTGGACCATCTTTTTTTCTAAGTCCATTTGCTGTTGGGCTCTTGATTTAATCATTATTTCATGAGTTTCTGATATTCGGCCCGTGAATTAGTGGACCATCTTTTCTTCTTATGTGTCGGGTTTTTAATTTAAACTCTATGGGTTATTGGAAAGGGTCTTGAAGTGACTATATCAAGGACTTGTCCCTTAATTGAAAGAGAATAACTTCAAGCATGTCTTAGGGAAGTTGGGTTTGGGTGCTTCGGTCTATTGGATTTGGAGGGAAAGAAACAATATAAAGTGTTTTGTGGGGAGCACAAGGATACAACTTCAATCATTACTATGATTAAGTTAATTGTAAATGATAGAGCTATGGATCCTTGGAAGATGAAAAGAACCATTAGTAATAAGAGTCCTGAGTTTTTGTTGGTCAGCTTTGTTTTGGTGAGAGTTGTTTTGTGTATGTTTTAGAGATGGTTTTGTATAAGCTCTTGTTTTCGTTCTAACCCAAGGCTTATTTTCGTTCTAACTCAAAGCTTGTCCTATGATACGATATGAACTGAGAGATAGTGTTTTGAGTAACTCTTTTGTCTTTATTGTTTTTATCTTATCCTAGAGGTTTGACCTGTGATAAGCTGACCGTTTTTTATAAGCTTTTTGTACATCATTTTTCTCTTTTTATTTAAAGCTTAATTAGAATATATATATATATATATATATATATAATAAAAAAAATAACCCAAAAAATAATTATTTTATGAGAATTTGAGAATTACAACACTATTTCAAAACTTAATGCAATAATATATAAGATGCATGTCTATATTGATACCTGTATTATCATTTGAAATAGAACAACATTATAAAACGACTACATTTAGGAGATTTGAGTGACTACTGCAGAAACCATGGTGTTCATTCCACACATACCGTGGCCTCGGCAAAGCCGGTAGTACCCATTTTCTCCCCAGTGCTTTCCCCATGAATTCTTGATGATCCAGTATGGCTGATTGCCAAGTCTTAGAATGGAGAACCCATGGGCTCCATATCCGACAAGGAGAACGCCGTGGTTGATCCATCGCTTGCCACAGATGAGCGGACACGAGACACCCCCAATGTAAGTTTGCATGAACAAAGCATTCAACCCAACTGCACTTAAGATTTTCACCATTATCGATGTTTCCACAGTAGTAACATTAATTAAGCAAATTTCACTAGGCCTAAATGGAAATTTTAATCATAAACTCTGAGTTTCTAATTTAATTCAACATTTGACTTTCATATTCTTGGATTACAATTTGAAATGAACAATACACAAGGTTCATATTTTTACTGAGAAAGTTGATAATGAAAAGAAAAACTCACTTGCTAGAGGGCCATGATGAACTAAATGTGCAGCGATTTGGTTCTCGTCGATGGGAATATTGGTAAAATTTATAACTCTAACAGCTACTTTATCTGAATTAAACTTGCATTCACCATTTTTTCCAGTATAAGGGTATGAACTTTCTTCCTGTAGTCCTCCGGCATCGATCAAATATTTGTAGGCATTTGTCATAAGGCCTCCATAGCAACCACTGTCACATTCACTCTGTTGCTTTGCATCACACTGCAAAATTACTTAACCAATGAATTATAAATCACCAAAAAAGTAATTAATTGGATCTTTAAGAAGTACCAAAACCATATTCAGAAAATTAAGCTTTTATCCCTATGCAAGGATTTTACATATATATTTGTTCTTATGGTGCAAATCTTGAATGTATCTTTTCTGATATGGGAAAAGATCCTGTAGGACCTAACCATGTGGTCGCAATCGACAAGCTGCTGCTCACTAAGATTCAGAAGCTTCCCGGTTGCGATAAAGTTGGCTCCTTCAACTCCTGTAGTGCTAAAAGCCCAGCATGATCCACATGTACCCTGCATCGAAATTTCAAACTTCACCATCACTAAACAACAGAAATGTTACTATTTAATAACAAAATTAGAACCATGAACACAAAGCTGCTGCTCATCCGTAAGCAATTTTTTTCATCTATATAATAAAGTTAACTCAGAAACTTCAACAGTAAAAAGAAAATATAATAAAATTAGCATTTTGGAGGATGGATTAATTAATATATACCTGCATCTTGACCTCAGTAACAGCTCCCTTTTCTCTCCAATCAAAACTCTTAGGCAAATCATCCACCTCCAAATTTTCCATCATTATCCCACCCTTCACGTCATCTGCACCGTTCATCACCGCCGGTCCACCTCTCATCCCAGTGTAAAACCTCTCAAACTCCTCCTCAGACAGATCGGAGAAAGGCGTCACGCCATGCACCGCCGTGGGATCAAGCAGCTGATGCTCAGCCGCCTTCATCACGTTCTTCGCGAAAACCCCCAAGCGGTGCACGTACTCCTCCCTCGTAGAGTAGCTTTTCCCATATTTTTGGATGAATGACTTGAAATTCTGCTCTGTAGCAGTACCCAGAAGAGCGTTTCTGGAGAGGATGGAACTGGAATCGTCTGTGACTTGGAGTATTGTAGGGTTTAGTGAGGCGTCATCAACGTGAAGAGGTGAAGCTGAAGAGAATGTGAGTGCGTAGGTTAGTATTGTAACACTCACGGCGCATGTTACAGCTCGTAATTGTGCCGGTGTCATCTTCTTCTGGGTATTGCGTTTGTTCTTCGCTCTGTTTACTGAACGAAGGGACTGAAAGGGCCCGTTTAAGTTGCATTTTCCGGCTGTGTAATTCCTCTTTTGTCCTTAAAAGATTGCAGAAGGGAAAGGGTGTTATGGTAAAGTAGAGAGAGGGTGGCCAGGTGTAGGGGCTAGTCGGCCACGTGTAGAGCATGAGAGTTTTGTGTGACACGTGGTAGTATGTGTACGTATATGTTGAATCAGCTTGTTTACCTGGATGTCATATTAAGTCGGCATGTGGTTATCTAAGACCATCTCCAATCCATTGCACCAATTTAGTACAAAATTGTACTAAATTAGTGTAAATTTTGGTACAAAATACTATTCCATCTCTAATCCACAACACCAAATATTACACCAAAAAGAATATTCCTTAGAATATTTTTTTTCTTTTATTGTAATAATCAACAATTAATCTATTTCACTCGTTATTTTTGTATATATTAATTAAATATTGGGAATGATATTTTTATTAAATAATAATTATTTTAAAAATTATACTAATTTAATAAAATTAAGCTAGGGCACAAAATTATGAAATCCAAATAAAAAAATTGGCTTTGGCAGAATATCGAGAAGATAATAAAATTTTATTCAAGGATTTGAATTCTATAACTGATCCAAGCCTACGTGAGTTTTTTCAAAATGAGCAATTAAGAATTATGCAAAAAATAGCTCAACAACAAAGTCAAGGATCTCAAAATAACTCAAGTTCTTTTCAATATTTTGATGATCTTACTGGATCCGAAACTAATCTACCGGAATACTAAATTGTTATTTTAGTTTATGTTTTATTTTCTTTTAATTTTAGTATTTTTAAATTAGTGTTAATGTTTATTTTGAGTTATTGTAGTTTAATATTTGCATTGAATAAAGTTCTACTTTTAATTTTTCATCATTTTTTAAATTATATCATTATTATAAATAATAATCAAATTAAATTAAATACAAATACTTAAATTTGGTGTGATTTTTGGTGTAAAATTTAATACTCAAATTAACTTAACAAAATTAAAACAAAAAAACCAAAATTAAATTTTTTTTTTTTATTTGTGCTACAGTGTTGCGCCATTTTGGCGCAGCACTGTGTTTGGCGTGGGTTAGAGTACCAACCCACGCCAATTTGGTGTTTTTTGCGTCATTTTGGCGTGGGTTGGAGATGCCCTAATGCAACCAAAACGGAGCTTGTTTTGGATTGGGAAATGGGAAGCTGAGGGTTTGGATTTCGGGTAGGGCCATTAGGGTTGGGCGGTTGTGCCTTTTTCTTTTTCTTTTATGATAAACTCGGGTAGGATTTCGGGTGATAAATATTCGAGTTATTTAGCCTTGGGCTTAGAAGTGTTATATGGATCGGTCCAACTTTTACTTATTTTTTTATGATTGGTGATGTTCGTACCAGTTTACGCGTATCTTAATTAATTTTTCGAAATCTTAGAATTATCGGTCGGATGAGAGTTCCAATGACTACCCTTATTAAAAAATCGAAGAAAGACTTAAACTTTGGATCTCTTGATAAATATAGCCAAGAATCACTATCGAATCATTCAACCATCCAAAGATAATTAATCGGTCCAACTTACTCATGCCAGATTTTCTTTTTCTTTTAGTAAAAAACTCCTTAATTATAATAAATAACATTATTGAATCAACAAGGTAATAATTTATTTTCTTAATTGAGGAGTCTACTCTAAGCCAACCACTTTTATATTGAAAGCAAAAGTTTCCTGAATGATATACACAAAGTTGTGACATCTAAAATATGAAATATACTATTTCTACAACCGTATAGATTAGTAAAATGTTTACATTAAATTCCATAAATAAATTACTGCAACCGCAGAAGCAGTTGAGGTAGGCAGAACCAATCAAGTATTATAAAGTCTCGTCATATTTTTATATAAATAGAGTTAACGATTTTTTTCCCACCCAAATAATGATTTAATTACACTTTTTTATCCACAGACTTTTAAAATACCACTTTATTATCCAAATTTACATTCCAACGATGAACAAAGAGCAAATTTTACCCACGCTATTGGGCCTTTTAAAGAGAGAGGCTGATGAGTCTTTTGGTGATAGAATATTAGATTTTGATGGTTGGGATTGATCGAAATTTGACTTGGGAGAGATAGTTGTGCAAATCCTAATTGCTCGATTGCCGGTGATTGGCGGGGTCGGCGGTAGTAGGGTTTTAGAGGTTTTGGTGAGTGACGATCGAGGAAGAGAATAGTGGTGGTGTGGGGTCGCATTTCGCAACGATGCCGAAATCGGAAACATAATATAAATTTGAGTAGTAAAATGATATTTTAAAAGTCTATTTGTGGAAAAGTGTCATTAAACCATTATTTGGATGAGAAAGTCGTTTACTCTAAGGGTGTGTTTGGTTCAAGGAATATTAGATTATTGGGAATCTTTAAGGAAATATGTTTGGTTAGTTAGAATAAATTAGTGGGTATATTATATTAATATATTTGGTTAGAAGGAATAAATTGGTGGGTATGTTTTATAAATTACTAAATTGCCCTCATTTTAAAATATTAATATAATATTGTTTTTATTATTAATTGTTAAATAATTTCCTTTAACCCCCAATATTTCAGATTTAGTTAAAACATCATAGCTTATATAAAACTTTAATTTATAACAAAATCACCCTTACCCACCCTAAGTCATTGTCGGCCGCCAACCACCACCATCGGCCGCTGCTTGACGCAATCAGAAGTCGCTGAAAATCTCCGGGAGTTGCCGATATGGCCGTTTCAACGACTTCCGGTGATGGTGGTTGGGTGGCGGTGGTGGTCTGCAATTTTTTTAAATATAAAGACATTATTGCCAAGTAATATAATATGACATTATCTCAGTAATCCAATATTACCTCTAACCAAACACACCCTAAATTCAAATATCAAATATGGCAACCAAGAGTAACAGTATCCCACAATTAGCCGAACTTACAACCCAATTCTGTCCACCAAAAGAAGGCATACTATCTCATGCACATTTAATTATCTTTCTTCAAAGCCAAAACTATCTTATCTTTCTTCACTCAGGGAATTAACTTGACATCCAGTGCAAGTTTTTCATTACTTAATCTTCAGAAATATGATCGTACTGCAAATTATATTCCTATATAAATAATCATACATTAAAAAACTTTCAATGTAAGTCAACAATGGCCTCCATCAATATTCTTGTGATGATAATTTTACTTCACATTCTCGTACTCTACATGATTATCAACACATCAAACTCCAGAGAAAAGTTACCAACAATCCTTGTTTTTGGTGATTCAACTGTGGACACTGGAAACAACAACTACATTCAAACTTTGTTCAAGGGAAATTTTCTCCCATATGGCCAAGATTTTCCTGGGAAAATTCCTACAGGAAGATTTTCCGATGGGAAACTTGTACCTGATTTTCTTGCCAATTTTCTAGGCATCAAAGACACTGTTCCTCCTTTTCTGGATCCTAATTTGTCAGGAGAAGAACTCGTCTCTGGTGTTTGTTTTGCTTCAGGGGGATCAGGGTTTGATGATTTGACAACTGCTGTATCTAAAGTCATCCCGGTTTCTAAACAGATTGAGATGTTCAGAGATTATGTAGTGAGGCTTAAGGGGATTGTTGGTGGTGATGAAGAAAAGGTTAAGAAGATAATTGGTAGTGCTTTGATTGTGATTAGTGCAGGCACTAACGACTTCATTTTTAACTTTTATGACGTCCCCTCAAGAAAATTGGAGTTCAATATTAGTGGGTACCAAGATTTCTTGTTGGACAGGCTACAGTCCTTCGTTAAGGTAAAAATAAATTCCTGGTTTCTTTTCATAAATTTCCTTTGTTTAATATATCGTTTGCTCGTTGATCCAAAATCGTGTCCTATTTATCCCATGGATTAGTTCAAAAGTCAAATTTGTGGTTTTCTTCCACGATATTTGCGGTTCTGAGTAATTGACATAATAAAAGGAGTAAGCGACTTTTTCTGACCTAAATAATGGCTTCATCACTCATAAACTTTTAAAATATCATTTTATCACTTAAATTTATATTTTATTTTCGATTTTGACATCGATGCGACCCTACTCTACTACCATTATTTTTTCTCAATCATCACTCATCAAAACCCCTTAAATCCTACTTCCGTCGAATAATCCCATCAATCATCAATAATCGTCATACTTCCGTCGATCCCGTCAATAGTCAATAATTGAGCGATTAGAGTTTGCACAACTGCTCTTCCCAAGTCAAATTCTAATCAATCACAACCACTAAAATCCAACCTTCTACTACCAAAAGACTCATCGGTCTCCCCTCTTCAAAAGCTACAACAGCCTGAACTGAGTTTACTTTCTGTTCGTCGCTGGAATATAAATTTGGATAGTAAAGTGGTATTTTAAAAATCTGTGAGCGGAAAAATGTTATTAAGCCATTATTTGGGTGAGAAAAAGACGTTAACTATAATAAAAAAACTATTTTTTGCTTCGCACTTATAAAAAATTGTAAGATTCAGTCTACAAAGTAGGTTTGCGGGATTAGATAGCTCATTGTTTGTTTCTCGCTTCTCAAATATTGTAAGGTTCGATGGGATTCTAGTTTTAACTTAGGGTCATATTTTATGTATCATTATATATTTTTGTATAATGTAAAAAATGGATTATATTGTATTTGGATTGATCGGAACTATGTATTTATATAAAATTTGATCTCAATTTACCAACTTGTAGGAACTATATGACCTTGGGGGGCGTAAGATGGTGATAGCTGGTTTGCCTCCAATTGGTTGCTTGCCCATACAAATGACTGCAAAATTTGAGAACCCATTTGCTAGGATTTGTTTGAAGGATCAGAATTCAGATGCTCAATCTTACAATTACAAACTTGCTAAGGTGTTGTCTCAACTTCAATCACTTCTTCCAAAATGCAAAATCATTTATGCAGACATTTATCGGCCGTTGATTGACATGATTGATCATCCTAAAAAATACGGTAAG